AACTTCTTCCAAGGGACAATTCCATCATATTTGAGCTCACTAAGAGGTATTGAAACCTTATCTCTCGCTCGCAACAACTTGTCAGGGACAATTCCAAAATTCTTGGAGAATTTTTCTTTTCTGCAATCCTTGAATCTGTCTTATAACAATTTAGAGGGCATGGTACCAATTGAAGGAGTTTTTCGTAATGCAACTGCCACATCAGTCCAAGGGAATAAAAAACTCTGCATGGGGCATACCAGAGTTTCAATTGCCAAAATGCGATTTTCAACATTCCAACAAAAGGGGGTTGAGCCTAACCTTGAAACTGGTAATCCTTCTCCATTGTGGGCTTTCTGGAGCCTTCTTTTCATTTTCCTTTTTGTACTTCTGTTGCTTCCGGAGGAAAAAAAAAAAAGGGATCGTTCGAGTGATTCTGAAAAATTTCCTAAGATGTCTTACCAAAGTCTTCTTAAAGCTACTAATGGATTCTTTTCTGCCAACTTGATTGGTATGGGAAGTTTTGGGTAAGTTTATAAAGGATTACTTGATCAAGGTGAAACAACAATTGCCATCAAGGTACTCAACCTCGTTCGACGCGGAGCTTCCAAAAGTTTCACTGCTGAGTGCGAGGCTTTGAAAAATATTAGACACCGTAATCTGTTGAGAATCAATGTCAACCCAAAACCATAAGTAATCCACAACCCAATCTAAAGTCCAAGTCCATATCTAGTTTGATGATGTAAGTGCTTACAATTGCAAAGTTAGGCAAGTTAGGTTGTGTGTGAAAACAAAGCAAAGTTAGGCAAAGTTAGGTTGTGTGTGAAAACAAATAATTAGGTGCAATTAATGTGTTTTGTGTGGTAGTAAATAATCTTAGTTTAATTAAGTAGCTTTCATTTGGTTTGCTATAAATACCCAAGTCCCCAAGCCTTGTAAATCATCCAAGGAAAAACAAAGCCTAGAGCTAAATAAGAAAAGCTTTGCTAATTAGTTTGTTTTGTGAGCTTTCTTTAAGAGTGTGCTCTATTTTTCTTCTTCTTGGGATCATTAGAGTTATCTTGGATACTCTTCTTATTCAACAATTGGTATCAGAGCCAAGACGGTCAGGGATCGTTCTTGGTGGAGCTATCTTGAGTCGTGAGGAGTTTGGTACTCTGCAAGTTTGTTAGTCAAGCTTGATCGGTACAGTCGAAGTCTTGCCGACACGATGGGTGACCTTCAAGTAGTTGGAGGAATCAAGAAGCTCAACAACAATAACTACAACATGTGGGCAACATGTATGGAGTCTTACCTACAAGGTCAGGACCTTTGGGAGGTTGTCGGTGGTGGAGAAGTTACACAACCAGCGACAGAAGATGCCAATGGCGTCTTGCGAAAGTGGAAAATTAAAGCAGGCAAAACAATGTTTGCTTTAAAGACCACAATTGATGAAGAAATGTTGGAGCACATTCGGGATGCTAAAACGCCAAAGGAAGCATGGGACACTTTTGTTACACTCTTTTCGAAGAGGAACGATACAAAATTGCAACTTCTCGAGAATGAGCTGCTATCGATGGTACAACGCGACATGACGATTGCCCAGTACTTTCACAAGGTGAAGTCGATATGCCGCGAAATTTCAGAATTAGATCCAACAGCTCCTATTGGGGAAACCAGGATGAAGAGAATAATTATCCATGGTTTGAGACCCGAATATCGAGGGTTCATTGCCGCTATACAAGGATGGCCGACACAACCATCGCTTGTTGAGTTTGAAAATTTGCTTGCAGGTCAAGAAGCTATGGCCAAGCAAATGGGAGGAGTCTCACTGAAGAGTGAAGAGGAAGCGCTCTACACCAACAAAAGCAAAGGCACCTTCAAGCGGTACACTGGTAGTGAATCTAAAAAGGATGGAGAAAAGGTGCAAAGTCACCAAGGAAATGGAGGCTCTCATTCTGGGGGAGCTTGGAAGAATCGCGGTAATAGTAAAAAGTTTAGTGGCAAGTGTTACAACTGCAGGAAGATGGGCCACATGGCGAAAGATTGCTGGACCAAGAAAAAGTCTGCTGAAAGTAATGCTGCTACTTCCAGTTCTAAGGAGAATAGCGAAGATGGTTGGGATGCTGAAGCACTATTCGCTACGGAGGAAGAAGAATTAGCTCTCACGGTAACAACACCAGAACGAATTGACTACAATAATGATCCAACAAGTGGAAGATGTTACACTTCACGAGATGTGGTGTTTGATGAAGCTTCCTCTTGGTGGTCCTCAGAGAAGGAGGTGCTACCAGACTCCAGAGAATTTGGAAAACAGCTGCAACAGAAGATGGGGGAGCATACTATCCAACTCCAACCAAGTTCAGATGAATCAGGAGATCCAAATGGCGATGATGTCGAACAAAGAGTGGCTCAGAATCCTTGGCAAATTGGCGTGTATCAACAACCAAACGAAGAAGGTGGGCCGAGTGAAACGGAAGAATCAACTCCACAATCTCAACTTCGAAAGTCAACAAGAACACGAAGGCCAAATCCTAAATACGCCAATGCAGCCATAATTGAAGAAGCAATAGAGCCTAAGACGTTCGAAGAAGCATCGCAGAGTTCTGAGTGGATGACAGCTATGAAAGAAGAGATCAATGCACTTCAACAAAATCAGACTTGGGATCTCGTGCCAAAGCCAAGAGATGTGAAACCCATATCCTGCAAGTGGGTTTACAAGATAAAGCGCCGTCCAGATGGGTCAATTGAGAGGTACAAGGCACGATTGGTAGCTCGTGGTTTCTCTCAACAATATGGACTAGACTATGATGAAACGTTTAGTCCAGTAGCGAAACTTACAACTGTACGAGTCCTACTTGCACTTGCAGCCAACAAAGACTGGAATCTGTGGCAGATGGATGTGAAGAATGCTTTTCTTCATGGAGAGTTGGATCGGGAGATCTACATGATCCAACTAATGGGATTTCAGAGCCAAGATCATCTTGAACATGTGTGTAAACTGCGGAAAGCACTCTACGGATTGAAACAAGCACCCAGGGCGTGGTATGGTAAGATTGCTGAATTTCTAACACAAAGTGGTTATTCAGTAACACATGCAGATTCCAGCTTGTTTGTCAAAGCCAATGAAGGAAAGCTAGATATTGTGCTAGTGTATGTGGATGACTTAATCATAACCGGTGATGATGAGACAGAAATTCTTCGGACGAAGGAGAATTTATCAGTCCGTTTCCAGATGAAGGTACTTGGACAGCTCAAGCACTTCCTTGGTCTAGAGATTGATCGCACACAAGAAGGAATATTTCTCTGTCAGCAAAAATATTCCAAAGATTTATTGAAGAAGTTTGGAATGCTCAAATGCAAGCCGATTTTGACGCCGATGGAGCCAAATGTCAAAATGAGTGCATATGAAGGAAAAGATTTGGAAGATGCGACGATGTATCGACAATTGGTAGGTAGTTTGATCCACTTAACCTTGACTCGACCTGACATTTCTTATGCAGTTGGTGTGATGAGTTGGTACATGCAAAATCCAAAAAAGCCTCATTTGGAAGCAGTTCGACGAATACTGAGATATGTGAAGAGTACAATTGACTATGGTCTTTTGTACAAGAAAGGTGAAGACTGCAAGTTAGTTGGTTACTGTGATGCTGACTATGCGGGAGATCATGACACCAGGAGATCAACAACTGGGTATGTGTTTAAGCTTGGTTCTGGAACCATCTCTTGGTGTAGCAAGAGACAGCCGACGGTATCTTTGTCAACCACAGAAGCATAGTATAGAGCAGCAGCAATGGCAGCTCAAGAGAATGCATGGTTGGTACAGTTGATGAGTGATCTACATCAACCAGTAGATTATTCAGTACCATTGTACTGTGATAATCAATCGGCAATTCGCTTGGCAGAAAATCCAGTCTTTCATGCAAGAACTAAGCATGTGGAGGTACACTACCATTTCATTAGAGAGAAGATCTTGCAAGAAGATATTGAGATCAGACAAATCAATACAGATGATCAAATTGCAGACTTGTTCACAAAAGGTTTGAGTACTGCCAAGTTTAAAAAGTTTCGTCGTCAACTCAGCATGGAGAAAAGAATGAGAGCTGACATTGAGGGGGAGTGTTGAGAATCAATGTCAACCCAAAACCATAAGTAATCCACAACCCAATCTAAAGTCCAAGTCCATATCTAGTTTGATGATGTAAGTGCTTACAATTGCAAAGTTAGGCAAGTTAGGTTGTGTGTGAAAACAAAGCAAAGTTAGGCAAAGTTAGGTTGTGTGTGAAAACAAATAATTAGGTGCAATTAATGTGTTTTGTGTGGTAGTAAATAATCTTAGTTTAATTAAGTAGCTTTCATTTGGTTTGCTATAAATACCCAAGTCCCCAAGCCTTGTAAATCATCCAAGGAAAAACAAAGCCTAGAGCTAAATAAGAAAAGCTTTGCTAATTAGTTTGTTTTGTGAGCTTTCTTTAAGAGTGTGCTCTATTTTTCTTCTTCTTGGGATCATTAGAGTTATCTTGGATACTCTTCTTATTCAACATAATCTTGTGAAGTTACTTTCTGCATGCTCCGGATTCAACTATCGTGGTTTTGATTTCAAGGCCTTAATTTACGAGTTCATGGTGAATGGGAGTTTAGAAGAATGGTTGCATCCAACTCAGACAAGTATTGATACGGATCAGAGGCCAAGGAGCTTAAATTTTTCTCAAATGTTGAATATTGCTATAGATGTTGCAATGGCATTGGATTATCTCAATCATCAGCGTCACATGCCAATAGTTCATTGCGACCTCAAACCCAGCAATGTTCTTCTCAACGATGATATGATTGGACATGTAGGTGACTTTGGGTTGGCGAGATTCCTTCCAAGAACTCTTGAAGATGGTTTTGGTAACTAGTCAAGCTCCATAGGAGTTAAGGGAACAATCGGTTATACTCCTCCAGGTAAAACGTACTCACTTTCTGTTCACCTTTTTGAGTATTCATTTATAAGTTGATTTTTTTTACATATAAATATAAAAACATTTGTACAAATGCAGAGTATGGTATGGGGCATGAAGTGTGGCCACAAGGTGACGTGTATAGTTATGGCATCCTCCTCCTGGAAATGTTTATGGGAAAAGGGCCAACCAGTGACATGTTTAAAGGAAGTTCAAATCTTCACAACTTTGTCAAGGCAGCTCTGCCTGAGCAGGTGTTAGATATTGTGGATCCGGTTCTTATTCTAGAAAAAAAGGAAGGGGAGATCAGTGCAAACCAGCATTTAACAGAGACTAGCACAACGATTCGCATGAAATTTGAAGAGAGCTTGATTTCAATTTTAGGAGTTGGTGTTGTATGCTCCGCAGACATGCCTGGGGAAAGGTTGGACATCACTGATGCTATGGCTAAGATGTGTCGGATCAGAAACAAACTTCGAGCAGATAAAATGCTGGATTAGAATAAGTGTACTGTTAAGTATTACCATGTACGTAATAATCTTGTTTCCTTATGTGGACAGTGGAAGTAGAAGTTTCAGATTTGCCTGATCAATAAAAACATTATAGTTGATAACTTGTCTGACAGACTTCAATCAATTTACTATTTCTATCCGTTGAGTTATATGTATTTCCATGATGACAGAGTTTGTTTGCCAAGGAAGGGTTACTTCAATGAGGTTTTGCCTAGAGACATAACTACATACATTGTGATAACTCGAGGTTTGGGGTATTAACTACATTGTAAAGATGAAGAAAATGAAGAACTGTGTATAAAGATTTACAGAAAATGAAATTACAGAGAAAATAGAAAGGTCTGAAAGATAAGAAGAAAAGTGCTGATTGTATTGAATGAATTGTAAAGTGTGATTACAAAGCTTTATAGAGTAACATTTCTTAAAGACTAAACTACCCTTCCTTATCTAGTTAATAGATCCTAACTATCAGATTCTAACCACCTACATCCAACTACAACTACCTCAACCACATAGGTTGACATGGCAGCAACCATTCCCAACCATATATGCTGACATGGCAGCAGCCATTGCTTCATCCATCATATGTCTACACTTATCATGGGGCAGATGGGAAGAGCAGATTTAGCGAGTTCTAACCCGGATAAGCTAATGAAGCAGGGTGGTCTCAACATGGTTATGTACAACACCTTGATTAATGCGCTGGGGAACGTTTGCCGGATTGACGAAGTAAACAAGCTCCTTGAGCAGATGAAGAGTGGTTTATCAACTTTGGCCAGCACCATATTAAACCTCTTTAATCCCACATTGGTCTACTCGATGAAGTTCCTCCAACTTTAGCTTTGTACACAAATCATTTAGCTATTTCAAACTCGAGTTCCCTCATGTGATGTGCTTCACATGGACAATCAAGGTTATGAATTATGAATCTCGAATGTCTTACTTTCATTTGGATGACTCGTTAACTTCGGTAGCACCTGATATAATTCGCAGACGCCGTCGGCATCCTGAACATTAACGGAACATCCAAATTATCGTGCAGCTAGCATCATATCAAAAAATGCATGGGCTAAATCAGCTGGAAACTCCACTTATGAAAAAAGACATTCAACAAATCAGAGCCTCAGGATTGAACAAAAAATAGATGTTTTAGCTACTTTAGTACTCTTGCTAGAGATCCCCTGAGATTTTGGAGGCCAGAGGCGAACCCCTTCTACCGTATTGTACATTCATATAATTAGTGTTTTTTTTAAGTTTTAACAAGTGGAGGGACACTTGAAAAAACGTACTTCTCTCCACTTATGCTATGATACGTAGTCTACTGCTTGTGTTTTGGGTACATAAAAAACTCTCTCCTAGATCAGGGGCTCGAGGTGGCTCTTCCAGCTCTCATCAGGGCTGGCTCCTTACATATCACTAACTACCAACTCATTTGCTATAAAAAAAATGCTACTCTTACCATATTTTCATACCATATTTGTACTATTTTTCTAATAGAAATAAAACTCACATGTATTAGTGGACCCTACCTCTATTAAAGATGTGGTACAAATGTGATGAAAAATTTATTAAGTGTAATCACTCGTTATCAATGTTATGTTTAAGTTTCTAACTTAATTATTGATTTATTTATCGGAAAAGACATTTTCTTCCTGATAGTGGACCAATCTTCAGACAAATTCCCCAATTTTCTACATGGTTTTGTGATTTGTGATGTATATACACACACACACACAGGTGTGTGTAACATGTATCAAATTTATAATTTATGTTTGACTGTGTTCATTCATTTCTTTCTGTTTTTAATGACCGGCGAGATACTTTTCAAGACTGAGGGAAGGCAATAAGGCCGGTCGTTGAATTTGACTAGCTGTTCTCAAATGAGATGATTATACTAATTAATCACTATCTTATCACCTTAGCTTACGTCCCTTGTTAGATTATTAATGATGATGATATACATACATACATATATATATATATATATATATATGTATATATATACATATATATACTTATATAGATTATAATCTCCATCTATACTGTAATAAGACGTCTATTGTATTCGATCATTCCTAAGGATTTCAATGGAGCACGATTGTAGCAATCCGTCCCGATTTTATCGGAACGAAAAAAATATTTTCGTAAAATTTCACCTTAGATTAAATCTTTTTGTTTTAAAATTGGTTTTTGGATCTTAATTGGTGAGCCCAAAGGGCCCACCTCCTAATTTGTCTCCCGGTTCCCTTCCTCTTTTCTTTCTTTTTCTGATTTTTATAACACTTTCTCTTCCCTCTCACTTCCGTGCACTCTCTCTTCAACCATCCCTCTTTTCTCTGAAAACACACACACACACATACAGCAACCATCACCACCATACCTGGACTGTGATCTCGAAAACCCTAAGCCAATGGAGTGCTCCACCGTGGCAGTCACGGTGCTTATTCCCCAAACGCACTCCGGTGACTTTCGAGGATTTTCCGATTTAGGTAAGCTTCGAGACTCCTTTGATCTTCCTTCCTCGTAGTCTACATTACTTGGTTAGTGATTAAAATGGCTTTGGTGAAGGTTTTAGCACGAAAAACAACTCGACGGGCATTTTCCAGAAATCTGGAAATTCCAGGCAGTGGTCATTTGGCCATCTTTCAGGCCCTTTTCCGGCCAACTCCGGCCACCATTTGGTCCCCACTTGTATGAATCTCTTCTCCACATTCCTAACTACATTTTTGCTTTTGAATAACTCAATTTGGTTAAGTAACGAAGAAGTTACGAAGCTTTGTAAATTCCCCAAACCTCCGGCAAAAACCCAGTTTTCCGACTAGCACCGCCCCTTTCGAGACGTTTTACGTCCAAACCACGGCTATTTGGCTGGTGTGCAGAGTATCAATCTCTTCATCTCGTCGAGTACTACAACTTTCATTTTTGTTTCACTTAATTTGGATGTGTAACGAAGAAGTTATGAGCCTTGGAAAATCAACCTAGAAACCGGCCAAAAACTTGGCTTGAAAACTGGTCAACTTGACCCATTTGCCCTGAAATCCAAACCCATTTAGGCTGAGACCCAGCCCAATTACCCCAAACCCAAATCCTTTTAAGTCTAGGCCTTGGGCAGGATTACCCAAGCCCAACCCAATTATTTTTATTTATTTATTTTTCTTTTTATAAAACCTAAAGGTCTTGGGCCATTTCTGTTAGAGCCTTAAACCCGTTAGCCACTAAACCCTTTAAACCTTTTAAACCCAAAACCCTTTCTAGGCCTTGAGCCATATACCCCCATGACCCAAATCCTTGTAACCCAAGTCCAAAACCCTAAACCCTAATCGGTCCAAACCCTTTATGGGAAATATTCCGTTGAGGAATATTTTAGGAATATTCTATTGACTTTCACGAAATTTACCCGGGATCCCTCTTTGAGTAATTCGACGTCCTGAATCCGTTTTTGACGTCTGATTTCCCAAATTCAATTGTTATAATAGAGTTTTATTAATTTGACCCCTTTATGTGCTTAGGTGCATATATTGTCACGATTTCGTGTTTGCTAGTTTGCGTGGTCTGTGAGTGGAACCCTTTTACAAATACATGTTTTAATAGTAGAAATGCATACATGGAAAAGCATGATTTAACAATTATGTTCTATGAAACGTTTTGAGATAACATGCTTACTAAAGCTAGATTGAATTACTATTATTTTTCTTATAACCCGTGTTCTTTATAAAATATCTGATGGATGACGATATACTATTTATAACACTTTTAGAGCACCTTTTTATAGTATAGATGACACGCCCCAATCCTGATATTCCTCGAATACCAAGAAATGCACGTGCTGGCCGATACCCGAGAATGACGAAAGCCATTTATTGAGTGCAATTGCTAAAATAAAGGATAACTAAGACTTATAAATATAAAAGAATAAAGAATAAGCATTTAAGGAACGTGTTCAGAGTATACAACTAATTAGAACACTAAAGGAATTAATATAAAATTAGATGAACAAAGGAGTGGGTCCTACACCGAGAGGACTCGAAGATGCCGATGCAGAAGTGCCTAGATGCCGGGATTGTATGCCTTGATTCTAAGTCCTGAAGGGGGCACAAAACAAACATGAGTGGACCAAGTTGATGTATATATATATATATTAAAATAGTTATCAACGTACTAACCCCCAGGTTTTATAAAAACACATATATAATGATAAACATAGGTTTTCTGAAACCTAGCATGTCGTGCAATGTCTCAAATCATAACTTGTATATATAATAATCACTAGTGAATTGTCCGATAACCCCCAGGCCCCATGCTGGCTCCCCGTCTCTGAGCAAACAGTCAGAGGAAAATACACTTCAGGTCCCATGCCGGCTCCCCGTCCCTGTGCTAAATGACCAGAGAAAACACACTCTAGGCCCTATGCCACACCAAACCGTCACCCGTAACGGACCGGTATCTATCCCTACGTCCTGTAGCGGAAATGACCACTAGATAAGTACAAAACCATTGAACATATATATATTGAAAAGCAACTTCATAGTATAAAGTCATCTATCATCTATACTATAAAGAGGTGTTCAAAACGTGTTCTAAATATCATATCCTCATCCATCAGATATTCTATAAGAACACGAGTTATAGGAAAAATAGTAATAATTCAAACTAGCCTCAATAAGCATGTTATCTCAAAGCGTCTCATAGAACATAATTGTTAAATCATGCTTTTCCATGTATGCATTTCTATTATTAAAACATGCATTTTAGAAGGGGTCCACTCACAGTACTTCGCTGCCGAAGAGCCACGCAACTAGTGAAGACAGAAACGCCATTGTAATTGGCCCTAAGCACATAAAAGGCCCAATTAATAAAACTATATAATAGCAATTGAATTTGGGAAAACGGACATTGGAAACAGATTTAGAATGTCGAATTACCTTAAGAAGGGTCCCGGATAAATTTCGCAAACGTTAACAGAATATTCTCCATAAAGGGTTTTGGACCGACTAGGGTTTAGGGTTAGGACTTGGGTTAGGTTTAGGTTTAGGATAAAGGGTAAATGGGTTAGGGAATTAGGTTGATAAAAGGCCTAGGGTAAATTATTGGGTTTAGGGTTTTTAAACTAAAAGGTTATTGGGTTAAGGCCCTAGGTTTTAGGGCGTAAAGCCCT